GGGTCGGACTCGATCTGTTAAGGTCCCTTCCGGCCCTAACATCTACAAATCTATGAATTCGCTGATCTACCACAGCATCACCCTGGGGTGATTGGAATCAATTTGCATAAATGAATGACTTGGATTTAGGTTGAACTGAAACAAATTTAAGTGTTTATTCAACAACAATTAGCTGACTATAAAGGACCACAATAACAAGCTAAGTACTGTGTACTAAAATACTATATACATGATCAAGCTAATAAATTGCCATATACAAAACTGTTTACAGGTGGGTGCAGGGTCAGGGTCTGAGAACCACAGTTATGACTGACAAGATAAACAAGAACACATGTAAAAGTACAACTGACACAAAGATAGCAAGGTTTACAGTTCTGCACACATAATCACTTGCCACCCCCTCCTTCCCCCCTATCCCCACCACTGCTGGCAGCTTCTTCAGGGCAGGGGGCCCCAAAACTATTTCTTGCAGGGGGCTGTGGCAGTGCACCTTTGGGTGCCGTGCACCTTAAGGGCAGAGGCAGGCAGCTACCAGGTGCCTGATGAGGGCAGCCATTTTGGAACTAGGCACTGGGGCTGGGAATGGGCAGCTTCCCACATTATACCACCAGTTTATGGGAACAGCAAAGTCGTGGCATGTGAGACTGCCCCATGGAGACAGGTGGGTGAGCTGGCATGAGACCTGGCCCTGAGAGTTGCCCCCTGTCACAGGGGCCCAAAAAATTGTGGGCTGGCCCCGGTGGTGAGCCAGACTCGCTGCCAATGGCCATGGGCAGTGGAGCCTAAGTTCTCTAAATTCCATTGCATGCCACACCCCCTGACTTCCAGTGGCCTTCTAGTAGCCTGGCAGGTTGGACAGAGTAGCTTCCTGGGCCAGATCCAACCCACACACTTTATATTTGACACTCCTGATCTAAGGAATCCATTACTTGCCACTGTCAGAAAGGATACTAAGCCAGAGGCTCTCAAACTGTGATCCATGGACCACCACTGGTCCATGAGCTCCATTTAGGATGTCTGCAGAAAGGTTGCGGAACAGTCGAGAATAGCTGTACTTGTAAGGTAAGACTACTAGTATTAAAATATGAGTTGTGTGCTTTGAATTGTAGAACAAAAAAAAGTTTAAGTGGTCTGCCGAGACCCTCAGCAATTTGCAAGTGGCCCATGAAAAAAAGTTTGAGAATCACTGTACTAAGCTATACAGACCTTTGTTCTGATCCAATATGTTGGTTCTTGAGACCTCCAAGACAGACCATCTAATTGTATACACTTCATGTAGCAGGTTGATGTAAGTGACAGTTGAGGAGACAGCTGAGGAGACAAAGCAATAGTTTAAATTGTAATGTATTTACAGTAAAAGCTCTGTTATCTGGCATCCATGAGGAATGGAGGGTGCCAGTTAATCAAATATTACAGGTGCTGGCTCCTACTGTGGGGGTCTTTAAGAGGAGGCTTGATGCCTACCTAGCTGGGATCATTTGAGCCCAGTTTTTGCTCCTGCCCAGGCAGGGGGTCAGACTTGAAGATCTACAAGGTCCCTTCCAACCCTACTTCTGTGATTCTATGATTATGAAATATGCTGGTTACCTGGGAGTTATACTTATCTCCAGCCTGGCTGGTGCACTAGGGCTTTCACTCCCTACCATCAGTGTGTCAGGGGACAGAGGGGGAGGGGAGCCTGTGCAGGCTGCTTTGCCCTGGGCCATAGTCCACGAGGAAGAAGTGAGACTCAGCTTGCGGCAGCAAAACCAGAAGTGCCACGGTGGGATTTCCGGTTTTGCTTTTGCCGCTTCAATTGGCAAGTGATACGTAAGATGGCAGATGCTGGTTAATGGAGCATTCCAGACAGTAAAGTGCCAGATAACACAGCTTTTACTATATTATGAGTGATGTTTACTGTACAAGAAGAGGTTATGGGGTGCAGTAGCAATCATCTTTGTAGTCTGTCTTCTGTCTAGTTTACCTGCGTGGAGTCTGTAAGTGTGCCCTACTTGTTAGAAGTGGGAGGAGTGGGAAGAGGTGAAGTTATAAACATGCTATCAAAGATGAGCTTGAGGGCAAAGACTTGGTAAAGAAAAGTGTGGAGCTCAGGCAGAGAGGACAGATTTGAAAAATCTCTTGTGGTTTCTTCCCAAAAAAAAAAAAAAGAAGTCAGTGTGAAAATAGACTCCCAGAGTTGGTGACAACCATTTCCAAAAACTTGAAAAAATTAAGTCATCCAAGAATTACATGAGATTCCCGTTTGTAGTACCTCAGAACTTGACCTCAGTTTTCTCAGACTTCTTGCTGTGAAATGTTAACATATGCAAACTGAAGTTTCTTTGTTTTAGGACTTTCTGGGTACATCCACATGTGCCATTAAGGCAACATTAGAAACTCTGGCACAGTGCTGGAGAAAACTGCTCCCAGGTGCAGTTTCTGCATGTGCACCTGGGACCGCAGCAGTCTGAGTCAAGGCAGTGCAGCCCCGAGCTGACAGGCGGCCCAGGGGGTCAGCCTCAGGCTCTGTGGGGTGGCGTCAGTTGGTGAAGGAGCTGACTGGAGCACAAGGGTGCTAAAGTATGGGGCTAGGCAGCAGGCAGTCTCCCACACTTTTGTGGTACTCTTGTGCCCCAGCCTGCCCCTGTCACTGTCTACATGTGCATTTTGATGGAGTTAGTTAATTTACTGCATCCTAATACACACGTAGACAGTGACACTTTACTGTGGAACTAATTAGTCAACTCCACAGTAAACAGCATGTGTAGATGCAGCCTCTGTGTCTTTGTCGAAATGTGTTACATAATTTCTTTGTTCAGTTTGTACTGTGGATTCTTTTCCTTCAAGGTATCACACTCATAGCTGTCGATGAAGCTCATTGCATTTCAGAGTGGGGTCATGACTTCAGAAATTCCTTTAGGACTTTGGGTTTGTTAAAGAAGACTCTCCCTTTGGTAAGGTTTTATAATGTATCCTATTTTAAATAGGGGAGGAAGGTGTTTTTAGTTACCTTTTAAAAGTTGAATTTTTATTCATCATAACTTTAGGATTTCCTCTTCTGACATTGTTTTTTTTCATTTATACTGAGAAATTTGAAATCCATACCATGTCTGCCCTGAAATATATTGATGTCTCTTTAGAGTGGGTGCTTTTTAAAATTGTTACAGCACAGAAAAAATGCTTTCAAATATGTGCCCTTCTTCAGGCTTAGGAGAATTCAAAGATTGTAAAAGTTCTCCTAGGTAGAGAAGAAATGAAGTTTCTTTTTTGCTTGGGAGAACCTTTACAGTCTTTGAATTCTCCTCCTCCTGAAGAAGGGTGTTTGGACCCAAAAGCTTGCAAAGAAGTTTTTTTCTATTATTTTTTTGATCTAATAAAAGATATCGCTTCCAACTTGAGAGTTTTGTTTGTCTGTATTTCTTAGAACAGCACAGGTACAACATGTACCCCTTCAAATATGCACACTTAGGTGTTGGAAGTGTATGTGACAGTCTCAGTATCTAAAGGAAGATCTGCTAGAATTAAACTGAGGTAATTTTTTGCCTTTCATCACGAAGGCAAAGAACAAACTCTCCTTAACTAGCAGAGTCTTAATGAGGGAGGCGAGCCCCTGGAGACTGCTCAGTCTAGACAGTTGATGGACGAGACTCCAGAAGACTAAGGAGTTCCAGGTCTGAGACTTCCCGACCCTCTGGGATAACTTGGAAGTTCAAAAAGGCCTAGAAACAGACATAATTCCACTGTCTGGCATTAACACTCAAAGATCAGGGTGGGGAAAACACAGAGAGCATTTTTGTTTGGATTCAGTAAGGCCTTCAGAAAGTGGCAGAGCTTCCATTGCCAAAGACACAGAGCCAGATCTCACTTAGCAACACAAAGATCATGATAATGTAGTTAAGTAGTCTCCACACCTCTGATCCTATGAGTCTTCTGTAAGATGAGACACCCCTAGTTATAATTAATAGTCCCCAAAGGGCTAAGACAGATTTAGTATCTGGATCTCCTGACCCTTTTGGTGAGATATCTTATGAATCTGCTAGTGGTATCAGCATCTTCTTTGGACTTCCCAATTTCTCCACATCTTTTTCTTAAAGAGTGGTTCCCAAAGCTGGGCTCAGTACTCCAGCTGAGTACACACCTCTGCTGTAGATCCTGGAATAATTACTTCCTCTAACTGGTGTTGGACACAAAGGGCTCTGGCAGACATAACATTCATCATGCTTTATATTCAAATATAGCAGGACAGAAAGAGACCCTTAGTATCGTAGATTCATAGAAGTAGGGTCAGAAGGGACCTTGTAGATCCCTTCCAACCTTACTTCTATAAATCTATGAATCCCACAGGACTGCTCTACCTCCCCTTTTTCCAAGCGGGAGGGAGTAACAGAGAGCAGCTGGCTCCCTGATAGGTTTAGAATTCCCTTCCCCTTAAACCTCAGCTCTGGCAGGCATTGACATCTTCAAGAATCACTGCAAGACCTTTCTGTTTGAGCAGGCATTTAGCAAGCAAGGCTAAGTTTAGGGTATTGTTCAGGGATTTTTTTTTTGTTTTATATCCCTCATTAATATTCTACCTGCTTTTTTAAATTTTTCTCTTACCGTAAGCCACCCTGAGCCTTTGGGAAAGGTGGCTTATAAGTCTAATCCAGAAACACATTATTTTGTAAGCAGATAAAACAGTATGATATAGGCGTATCCTAAAATAGACATGCATGTTCTGTGGACAGTACTTAATTCTTCATGTAGCTAATAAAGAAGTGAAAATTCTTATATTTACATTTTGTGGGGTTTTTTCGTTTTCTCTAAGTTTTCTTGAAGATAGTATAATGAAATTTAAAGTGTGTATTTCTATTATTTACATATGTATTTCACTGTTTTTACAGCATAAGTACATGCATAGTTTAGGGTTTTTTGTGTTTAAATTTTATATCTACTAGTTGGTCATTCACCATTTTGTAAATTTTGCATTTGATTGTCCCTCTCTCAGTGTAATACTTTTTCATTTGTCTCTCTTGAGTTTCACCCTGACCATTTTTCCAGTTTATCAAGGTCATTTTGCATCCCAGTCCTGTCTACCCCTACTATGCAGAAAGTTACATGCCAAAGGGTGGGAATTTCAAAACTATCTGAATGACCACAGAACCTAACTGAATTCTAGTAACTGAGGTACTCTTAAAACACCCATCCTTAGCTAAATAGGATTTAGGGGCCTAACTTTTGGCACATATCTGTGGAGACTTTGTTCTCAGGTACCTAACTTTAGGCCCTTGTATTTGAAAATGAGCGTAATCACATTGAAGATGGAAATAAAAGTAATAATTCAATTACATTAAAATGTATATATTTGAAATATAATTTTGTGCTCTTCTGTCCCTTCCTCCCCACTAGGCAGGTAACTGTTTGTTTGGTGACTTTTTTGAGTGATCTCTTGTGACAATAGGACAGGTCTAAGTTGCTAAGTATTGTGTATATTTTTCAAAAGCATCAGGTTTTTCCAGGAATGATAAACAGATCATGATATCTAATCCCATCCTGGTTGATACTTGACATTGGTGAGGTCGCAGCTGGAGTACTGCATCCAGTTCTGGGTGCCACACTTTAAGAACCATGTGGAGAAACTTGAGAGAGTCCAGAGAAGAGCCACTTGTATGATTAAAGGCCTGAAGAGCAAGCCCTACAAGGAAAGGCTGACATATATGAGACTGTTCAGCCTAGAAAAGACAAGACTTTGCGGGGATTGTGTTGCAGCTTACAAATATATCGCGGGGGGGAGCATCAGGGGCTAGGTGAACAACTATTCACCAAAGCGCCCCAGGGGAAAACCAGGACCAATTCATAAACTCCTAGAACAAGGCTTCAGACTGGATATAAGGAAAAACTTCATGGTTCATGTGACCAGACTCTGGAATAGACTCCCAGTGGGGGTGATACAGGCACCATCCCAGGAGATCTTCAAAAGGAGACTAGGCGCACACCTTGTTAGGGTTATTTGACCCCAGCAGTCTTTCCTGCCCAGAGCAGAGGGGCTGGACCTGATGATCTCACAAGTTCCCTTCCAGCCCTAAACTTCTATGAATCTGTGATTTAGAATAATCTTACAAAGTAGGAATTAATGGCCTCTCTTATTCCTGATTTGTCTTGTTTATCTCTACTTTTCATTTCAGGTTCCTATTGTTGCTTTAACTGCAACAGCAAGTCCTTCGGTTAGAGCAGACATAGTAGACTGTCTGCGCCTAAGGAATCCTCAGGTCACGTGTACTAGTTTTGACCGACCTAATCTGTACTTGGAAGTTGGACGGAAGACTGGCAGTATCCTTCAGGATTTAAAACAATTCCTCATTAAAAAGGGAAGGTGAGAATTTACTAACTTATTTGTACTGTGCGCTGCTGCTGTTCTGTCTCTGATGCTATCCAAGTCCAGGAATGATAAGGATCTTTATGGTAGGGCATTTTTACACATGCTAGTGCTGCAGTGCCCAACACTTTGAAAAGTGTGCAGTACTGTGTCGCTTGCAGTTGTATAAGCGGTGAAATGTGTTTAGTGCTGAGAAACTAGTGGTGATGCGTTTTTGAATTAAAACACATAGAAGATGTTTTAGTAGAAAAGCGCGCTGCTGCCATTTTCTGTGTGCTGATGCGCATTTCGCTGCTTATACAACTGCATGCGGCGCAGTGCAGTTCACATCAGCTTGTGTGGAGCAGACTCAATTATGCAGTGTGCTCCAAAGTGGCAGATATCCAGTAGATTGTGGGACAAAAAGGTATGTGTATAAATACCCATAGTTAGGAGACTGGGTTTTCTTCCCATCTCAGTTACTGACCTTGTGTGTGACCTTGGATAGGCCACTTAACTTCTTTTCCTCTATATCTCCTCTTAGCCTTTGATTTGTCTTATTAATAATGTCAGGGCAGGGATAAATGAACTCTTGCTGTGTTCATACAGTACCCAGGAGTAGGGACCTTGGTCTTGGCTGGGATCTCTAGGTGTTTCTATGATAAAAATAATAATTAACTGAATAGCAAATTACTTTCTGACCTATAGTATATGAAAAATAAGTTTAAGTTTATCAACTGAAATGTAAATTTAGAGTTATATGGAGGCTTTTGTAATAGAAGTGACATTAAAGCTCTTTTCTGCTAGAAGACCAATGGTATGACAACACAGCAGAGAAAATAGCACTGGCTAGACACAGAACTGCCACAGTGCTTAACTTTTAGAAGAACTTAAATCCCCCTCTTATGTAACTTAGTAGAGGCCAAGGGGTGAGGACAACCATCATTTCTGTGGAGAGGGCAAGGTGGAATTCACCTTGGAGGTCTTATCAGCACAGTGACATTTAACATGTGTCTCTGTACCAGTCTGAATGAATCCAGACCCCCTACTTGCAAGCATGGGTGTTAAAAACTTGGATAAAATTTTCAGAAAGACTCTCTTTCCCATTGACTTCTTTGAAACTCAGAACCATAACCTGCATACTCCCCTGCACAGACCAAGGCTTTCATTTTTCATAGAAAAAAATTTATAAGCAAAACTCCTGAATATCTGTGTTGCAGAAAATTTTGCATGCATCTTTTAATAGAACAAGTAATTCTTACACAGCTACACCACTATGTTAAAGGATGTAAAAAAACTTATCCATCTTCAATAGAATCATAGCTGGCAGAACTGATATACAGAATGAACTGACAAATAGGTGGAATGGTTTGTCTTAAGACGTCAGACCCCAACATCAACTACTATGAAGAACACTCAGCCTGTTTTTCCCTTGGAGAAGAACAGAGATATGTACACAACTTGCGTAGAAAATACCTTAATTGAGAGCATTATCCACCCGACCAATTCTTACAGTTGGTTCTGTTAAGCTTGCAAAGCTCAAGAAACCCTAAACAAATACTAAGGCCATACAGTGCATTCCAATGAGTATGCACATGCAGTGATGCGCATTTCCCATGGGATAAATGGCAGCAGCTCATAATTGTGCCACTACTATTTGTCCCCAGTCATGCCCCTGCATGTGTGCTCTAGCATGTGACAAAGTGATCTGGGTGGGATAGGGGAGGCTGGGGCCAGCATCTGTTCTGGCCCAGCAGCCTTATCTGGGGTCCTGGGTGCCTCCTGGGGCAGCAGCAGCACCGAACAAGCCTCTTGGAGCCTGGCTGGCAGCCAGAGAATGGCTATGGCCAGGAAGGCTCTGTTTCTGGTGGTGTGCATGGCTGCCATGTGCTCTGCGCTGTATTTTAGCAATGGGTTGGGTTTTTTACGTCAGGATCTCCCAGTGTCAAAAAAACAGCTGTGTTGCAGATTCGCAGTGTGGCAAACAGGTGCATGTGCACAACATGTGGTTTGCAGCACCTCAGATTGCTTTGAGGCACTGCAAACTGCGCATGCATGCTCATCGGGACACACCCATAAGATGTATAGCAAGTCTAGGTCTTTCAGAGCTGGTAATAATGAGCAAAAGAACAGCTATACCATGCTGTACCATGCATTGACCACTACTAATGGAAGTTATCTGTCTCTCTTTTAGAGAAGTGAACCTACCTAACTTTTTAAAGAACAATGGCTCACCCAATCTTCCTGAAAGCCAACACTGCTGAAAACTTCTCTGATTACCATCCAATTTTTAGCTTCCTATACTTGCAAAACTGGCCAATATCCAATAGCCAAGACAAAAACCTTATTAGTGTCAATAGAGTCTAGTCATACCAGTTCCTTCACTTCTTTGCTGTTGAGCTTCTGCAACTTTAGATATTATAAATGAGAGTAATGGTAATCCATATACATGACATAGTAGGAGTAGGTGGCATAGCACTGTGGTGCCTCCAGTTGAACTCCGCTGCAGAGTGCTGAGTGAAGATAGGAAACTGCACCTCTCCACCAGAAGCCCTCTTATATATCACAGGAATGCATATTAATCTCTTTCTATGTGTGGGAGGTCACACAGAGCAACAGTGAGGTACTATGAACTCATCTGTCAACACTACAGTTTAGTGATGTTGACAACTCCCGTGATTCTCTAATGCAAATGTTGCCTCTGCTGTGATATCAGTGCCTGCAGGAGATCAGCTCTCAACTAAAGGGTAGCTGGCCCAAAGTCAACCCTGACAAGGCTAAGGGATGCTGGTTGGAAAAAGGGAAAGCTTTGGAGTCCTAACCAGGGTACTGCTTTTCTTCGTCCTAAGAGTGAGACTGAAGGAGGAAGGTTTTGGGTTTCTGTGGCTGTTACTATTATTTCTGCATTGTGACTGCTGTCCTATTATGATCCCATTCATAAAGCTGTTTTCTGAACAGTATCTAGCTCTCTGTGATTCTGTTTGTTTATACTACTCTTATTTTAGGTGTTTTCTGTTTGGAGGGTGGGTATCTGGCTCAAAAGGGGAAAAGTAAGAGGAGGGAAGTTCTGGTGCTGGAAACAGGGCTGGGATAAAAATGTTTTACTTGGGAGCATTGGAGTAATGTGTGTACATGTGTAGGTGGGAGCAGGAGGAGGCTGCACTAAGAAAAGGAATCGGATGAGAGAGGCGAGTGACACCCTGCCTACCTGTCTGAATTGTTTCCACAAGATTATGGTGCCCTTTTTAATACAGCTTGGCATCATCATCCTCAGTTGCATGACATTTGTGTCAGAGTAGCACAATATAACATGCACTTAGTGCATTAGCTAGAATGTCACCCACAGAAATTGTACTCTGGTGGGAGTATACAAAAATTATTAATGTTTCAGTGTTTTGGGGGAAGACAAGTAGTATGGAAATAGAAGAGATTTTGAACTGTTGTTGACATGATTCTTAGCAAGGCTAAGAATCCAAAAGCAGATGCCAAGCTGGTATTAACTGTCCTAATACCAGTAAAGTCTACAGAATAGTGACAATTAACGCCATCTTCCCAAGAGTTGACAACTTCAAAATAAATCAGAAAATAATGTTGAGTTTTGAAGCTGCTTATGTCCAGAATAATAACAGATTAGTGCAAAATCTTCATCTTTTCACCTTTTTGTCTGTTTAGTTAGAAGTCAAAAGTGTGTTTCATAAACGATTGCCATTTACAGTATATATCATTTTATTGTTGTTTTTCTTAGTTCTACCTATGAGTTTGAAGGACCTACTATCGTCTATTGCCCTTCAAGAAAGATTACCAGTCAAGTAGCTGCTGAGCTGATGAAATTAAATGTAGTCTGTGGCATGTACCATGCTGGCATGGGAATCAAAGAAAGAAGATATGTCCATCATAGGTTTATGAGAGATGAAATCCAGGTATAAGGAAAACTCAGTTTGTTTGTTCCTATACAGTGGTAGTGTAAGACTGATGTTTTAGCCCTGATGGTCCAGAAATTATGCAAAAGACAAGGATTTCCTAGTTTGATAGCTATTACTGGACCAAAAGATATGAACCTAAGAAATCCTTGCCTCTTATTATGGCATTCTGTGGGAAATGAATTGGGTGTTGCTTTGACATGTACAGGTCAGGTCAAATCAGTCCCGAGGCTGCTTCGACCGTTGGGGCACCTTTAAATGCTGTAACGGTCCTTCTAGATTAGTTGAGTTGCTTTGCATCATTGGTGATTCTTCAGGCAAAGTGACATGATTTTTTAACCTCATGTTAACTGCACTTAAATTTTAAATATATATAGTATTATCATCTTAAAATTCTTCCAACATGTTTATAGTTGGTGCAACCAACATACAAGTAGGAATTGCTTTGCTCATTGCTGAAGCACAGCTACTCTTTAGCATAGTGTTCAGCTTTTTTGGCCCTTTTGTCTAATAGCTGATTTAATCAGTTGTAGATAAAAGCTCCAAAGAGCCCTGCTGAAGCACCTGAACTACACAGACACTGCAGAACTGTGTCAAACTAATGTGCTGCTGCTTCTAGTAAAGCGCATCTTTGTGGTTTTTTTCTATGTCTGTCAGTATCCGTAATGATATTTTATCTGCAGGTGTATTACAGTTGTTATTTTATCATTATTGTTAACATTAAATGCCATGCATATCTTATCCAGTAAGATCTTGTAGCAATAGGAAATAATTATGAATGGGATCTAAGGCTGTAGACTATTAATCATTAATTGTATTTTGTTTTTTAGTGAATGTAACTTCTTTTGTTTTCTCTGATGAGATCAAATGATCCAGGAGACTGCCAAAAAATCTGCAATAAGTAATCAATTGCAAGTTTGTTTTCACTGCTCTTTCCTAGTAACTGTTCTATTTCATTTGCAGAAAGTAGTAATTACATCTTGTAATTTAATAAAAATTGATATTCTTCAGGTAGTTGTTCACACATGTATTCTCGCATGTGGATACTGCTTACCTCCTGAACCTCTGATTTGAGACTTTATGACCTCAGGAATACCCTACTGTATGCTCTAGCCCCTCACTTCCATCTGCTTTCTGATCTGAAAGAATAAAGAGGAAAATATGCATCCTTGCTCTTTAGTTTCTCTTTAGTTAGTGACAGGTACTTCAACTGGCTGAGCTGGAGCATTGTCTTTGTCAGTTATCTTTTGCAGCCTGCACTTGTTTAACCGAGGCTTACCTTGATTTCAGTTTATTAGTTTGTTTTTTTTCTTTTCCCTTTCAAAATCAGCTCTTTAATTTTGTATTCTGTTTCTTTTTCAGTCCTTTTGTGCTTTCATGGTTATTTTCTCCCCTAACTTATTTTCTTTTATGGCTACATCATGTGATGCCATTTCATAGCATACTGCAGTATTTCCCAACCTTCTTCAGCCCAAGGCATGCTTACATTAATAAAATTTTTTGGTGGCACACCTGTTAAGGCATTCCCCATCCTCATACCTATTGTAGCTCATTGCCATGGCAAAATTCTGCGGCACACCTGTTCGTTTCTGATGGCACACTGGTTGGGAAACACTGGCATAGTGTAGTGTTTTTTCAGCTGCAAGATGTCCCTCCCAGGGAAGGGCATGAAAAGCTCTTGAAGAGTGGGGTGTTGAAATTGGTAGGGAGAATTGGAGGGAAGTGGCAGTAGTGGCATGGGGAATTGGCCAGCATACAGTGGCTGAATTAAGGGGTGTGTGAGAGTGGCTGAATGAGTGGCAGTGGGGTGTAGATCCCAAAAGTTTTGTAAGCACTGGCATAGCACTTTGAGGACATTCACCTTTTCTCTGCAGTTTTTGCTCCAACTTTTGTTGAAGATAATATCTACCTTGGTGGCTGTTGCCCAGCGGAGTGAGGTGGAGGCCGTCTCTCCCCAGCAGGCCACTGCCTCTCTCACCAAAGAGTGGACTGTGATTGTGGAAGCCAAAGCCTACATGATGACACCAGCGCCGCAGTCTTTGGTTGACTACCTCAACTCGTCTCTCCCTCCCCAGCCCCTGACCCACAACTGGAAGGAGCAAGGAAAAGACCACCCGTGCCCCCAAACCGCTAAACCCTGCTCCCAGAGCCCTGTAGTCTCTCATGACCCAGACAGGGTTGCTCCGAGCCGTGTCATTCATGCCCACATGGATAAGGTAGCGGTCAGAGGGCCTGATAGCAGGATCCTCTCTGCTGTTTCCCTGATGTGGGCCCCTAGGAAGTAGCAGACCCCTTGGGGTAGGAGGTCGGGGCGGCAGATTGCCCCCTCAGGAGGGAGTCTCCCACGACGACCACTCTGTGTTTCATTTTAGGGAGAGTAAGGGCAGGTGATGCTCCCATGCCTGCAGGAGCTGGCATCTCCGCAGGCTCTGCTGGGGCTGCAAGAGGCTTGTGCCTGTTGTAAAGCCCCAGAGGGGAGAGGACCTTGGTGTGGCGGGCCTTGGGGCCCTTGACCACCTTGGTCCAACCCCCTGGCTGGACAGTATAGGAGATCCCCGAGTCCTCCCTTGTCCTGGGAGGTGACCTTGGTCTACCCTCCCTACCTGTATTGACACCTCCCTTTCCAAGAGGTGGAAAAGATCTTCAGAACCAGTGCCATTGTTATCTTCAGTATGTTCTACCTATCTAGGCCTATCTATAATTCCTCATGAACTTTTACTCTAGCTGAACTATTGTCAGCATCTCGGTCACCAGGCCATTTTGTACCAGGCCTACTGCTCTCTTACCTCCCTCAGTATTACCATGTTTCTCATGCCCAGAATTGCTGGTACCACACTTTTAATACAGAATGCTCCAGCTCCTTCTCTGGAATGAAGTTACTCTGTTCTAATAACCCAAGGCTCCCTTATTACAGTCTTTCTAGAAACCACCATATCTGGCACTGTGATGCTAGTACTCCTCTGATACCTTCTAGAATTGGTCACAAAACATTTACTCCATCATGTCTATGTCAACCCTGCACATGTCCATAGAGCCTTCTCACAGCACACGGATTGCTCTAGGTCATGTTCTTCCATTTCCTATAGGGACACATGTTTGAGTTCTGCTTTCCAATCTCTGGACTGTTTTCTTGTGTGGAAACTCCCACATGTGGTATATTTCTTCATCTTTGAAAACTGTCCCTTGAGCTGATGGACCAGGAGGCTTTTCAGGTTTCCTCAAGAGCATGGCAAAAGACCTCTCTCTACCTATTGCCAGAGGAAATTGTAGAGGCATGAGTGCATTCATCTCATACCAGCTTCAACAAAGCCTTTTTCCAGCCTCCCCAAATATTTGGAGCTCTCCTGTTTTTGTCCTGCCAGTTGACACACACATTGACAAGAAGTAAAGAGCATCTCTGAAAGGTGTACAGTTTGCTTGAACTCAAATCCTTCATTCCTCTCTCTTCTCAGTCCATGGTGTCCTGCACTTCTTTCACACCTTTGCCTGAACTACAATACAAACCAGTTTATAGTCTGCCTAATCTCTGGAGAGAAGTTCAGTTGTACTGCTATCTTTGTTTTACAGTGTGTTGTTGCTACTGTGGCTTTTGGAATGGGTATCAATAAAGCAGATATCCGGAGAGTTATTCATTATGGAGCCCCTAAGGAAATGGAATCATACTATCAAGAAATTGGAAGAGCTGGCCGTGATGGACTTCCTGCTTCTTGCTCTGTATTGTGGACTCCAGCTGATATGACTCTTAACAGGTAAATTATTGGTTAACAGCATAGAGTCAATGTAATTTTTTTTCACTCTTTATCCAGAATTTAATTTTATTGCCAAAATAAACAGGAGGCAGGAGGTTTTATTATGAACATTGTAATTTGAAATGTTTATGGATAAATAAACGGTATAACTAAAGTGGTATGAATTAAATAGTTCTTTAAGGCCCCTGGCAGATGTTAATACTGTGTAATCATGCAGTTGAGATCAAAGGAATTTTATTTCCAGTTCCAAAAATCTTTTGGGGATTTTTGACATCAAAGATAAAATTCCTGTGATCCCCATTGCATGACTGCCAGTGCAGGGAGCCTGGCATTGGGACCTGGTCCCTGATGCCAGGTTGCCTGACCACTGGCAACTTGAAAACCAGTTCTCCCACTTTGTCCTGCACATGTGATTTGTTACAGCTGAGCTCCCTAGTCTCAGATGTATGCCTGCTTTTTTAAGGTCCTGGAGTGCTATGAGTCTGAGATTGGTGAGTCTAGACTCACAGACCTTTAAAAAGTAGGCATGTAGCTGGGCCATGCATTTAAGATGCAATAAAATGTCAAACTAGCCACAAAGATGTTCCACATAGCTTTTATTGTGCCTGATTTTTAATGTGTGGATTATAGGCATTCAGGAATGGTGCGTGCAGCCCAGTTACATGTGCACCCTTTGAACATACTGGTCTGCAGGTAACCAGCATGTTCACAGGGCAGCAGTCCAGCTAGGCTGCACTAAGCCTTTTAAAAATCTTGGGCACAGAGGGCCCAAGGTCAGGGAGACTTTTTTTTTTAAAGTTCTAGGTGTGGCGTGATTCTGAGATTGGAGGGAGGCTTTGTGATCTTGGGCTCACAGTGCCCCAGGACCTGAAAGTCAGGATTCTGCTGCACTCCTGCTTTTTAAAGCTCCTGGGATACTGGGTATCCAACATAAGGGAGAGGCTCCCTGATATTGGGCTTTCCAGGCCCAAGACTTAAAAAGCTCAGTGCAGCCCAGTGATACTTTGAAACATGCTGCATGGGTGGCTCCTGGTTGCCTACATGCCACATGTTCAGAATCAGCCACAAATGTGCAATATTTTGAAGCTGTGTTGGTATTTTATCATAACTTAAATATCTTGCATGTGATGTGTGTTGCCATTTATTGTGCAATTAATCGCATGATAAATGTAATGTCTGCCAAACTGATTCAAGCTTGGTCATATATCTAGTGAGTTTGAATTCTGCTTGCAAGTGCACCTGTAAGTGTGTCTGTAATAAACTTCATCTTTGTAACAGATAACAGCAGCCAAAATGTTGGCTCTGAGTACAGTTGTTACAGTAGGGACGGAGTGATTTCTGGGATCTTCCTGACATACCAGCCCATTAAAATCGCTCAGACATGTGGAACACAGGTGTCACATGGCTCCAGAGTTGTTAGAATCAACTCAGTTTTTCTGCATTGAAGATCAAGGTCCTGTCTGTGGAGGCCTTCTGTCCTCAGAAAACTAGCGTTCTGTTCGTTTTTGAAGTAGAACCAATGTAGGAATGCAGAAGCTCCCTAATGCGGCCATTTGGATTCATGGGTTTATTCACGCATGCACTCTGATCTGCCTGCTTCTTGCTTCATTTGTTTTACGTTGCCAATGACTGCTGTGGATGGTGTAAAAGTAGGCAGCAGGTAGTTATATCACATCACTGAGTTGCTACTGATGGATGTGTGTCAAAGTTTGGCCTTCAAACAGAATTTAATGGAAAAGAAAAAGCTTCCCTTTATATTCCTTTCAATCCTTTCTCCACCCCAGTGCCTTGCTTTATGGATCTGCATATATTTATTGGTCTGGGGTGTTGGAAGGGTGTTAGAAGTACAACTGCAGTTGAGAACTGTGATCATCAGATACAGAAAAGATAGAATGTGGTAGGTGTGCTACTCCTATAGAGTTAACAATGAAAGGGAAACCTGTAGGCAGTTTTTTTTAAAGTGCATTTTTCAGCTGTTCAGGGTTTCTAGTGGACTTGCATCTGACTTGAGTAAATATGTAGCCTTTGGAGGTGAGGGGTGAACAGTGATCAGGATTTGTTGGTCTTTCTTTTTAACTGACAGACATCTTCTAACTGAGATACGTAAAGAAGGATTTCGACTGTACAAGTTAAAGATGATGGCAAAAATAGAAAAGTATCTTAACTCAAACAGCTGTAGAAGAAAGTGAGTATTACAGTATTTCACTGCACATTTTATGTACAGTCACAGTAGGGAATTATTAGGGGGCATTGCAGTTCAGTAACAGAAAATAATTTCATAATTTGTGTCTGCAAAAATTCATTTTTTATTTAAAAAGCAATATTTATACCTTTGGCACAATTAAATACATGCATTAGATATTTCTTATTTACTTTCCAAAAACAAACTTTCTTGTCTCTGGATGAATCAAGGTCAAATAATTGGCTCCCTGGAGAATCAATTAATGATGATGATTTCAACTCATTGTTTTCTGGAATGAATTTAACATGTAAATTCTTGTTCTTTTTATTTAATTCGCAATGTTCTCTTGGGTAGAATCATCTTGTCCCATTTCGAAGACAAACAACTCCGAAAGGTCTCCTCTGGCATCATGGGAACAGAAAAATGCTGTGATAATTGCAGATCCAGGTAAATGTTCCTCCCCAATGAGTGCAGGGCTGAGATTTATCTATTCTCCTATAACATATGAGACGAAATAAAATAACTGCATAAAGTATTTCTACTAAAAATATTGTGTTTTTTTATGCACTGAAGTTTGCAAGTATTTACACTGATACAGAAAGCTTTTTGAAATTTTGCTTTTTTGTGTGTAATGCTATTGTAGATTACACCCAGTAATGGAGTGTAAGAGATTCGCCAAGCCGAAGCCAGGTTGTTTTACAGCCTGTTAGGAAATTTTTAATTGCAGAAATTGTCTTTTATTAGTGTCTTATATAAAGTATTTTAGAGGTTGTGAAATTAAATGTTATTAAACACATTTTTGAGCCTTTTGGTATCCCTGTTGAAGAATTAATCTCTGTAGAAAAAATTTAAAAGCTGAATATGTAAACACTTTTAAAATTTGCCTAAGTGTTAAGGAATCTCTTCTGTGATTACTGCTGTAATGTATGTCACCTTCATGTTGTTGTATGTCCATTTACTGAGAGGAGATGCTACCCCTGGGTATTAGAATAATGCACAGATAAAAAAACAGACAAGGTTCTTTGGGTAAATCTGATATCTTTGATCAGGCTGACTCATAGTTGGAAAAATGCAGATAAAAAACAGAATTTTTTAAAACTTTATTTTAATAGACTATTCATCTGTATGTATTAGCAGTGTAAGATTTCTGGTTTGAGGTGGATAGTTGTACAGTGCTGTTTTAAGAAGAAAATCAGGAGTTCAGCTACACTTCCTACACATTCACAAATTATTATGAGTGGTTCTCAGCTGCACCAAAGCCAGGAGAAAGCAGAACTTTATTTTAGAGATGATTTTTCAACTTACGTTTAAATCCCCTTTGGAAGATGCATGGGCCTGAAGGTTTCTGTGCCAGTAAAAAAGCCCTAGGATTAGATTTGGATGCAAATCCAGGGCTATGTGAGAGTCTTCCACAGAAGACCTACTTTTAAATTCCTTTTTCTTAATTTATAGTAGGGCTTTCCTTTTTCCTATTTCCCCTGTTCTCTCCCCCCCCCAAAAAAAAGAAAAAAGAAATAATAATAACAATACCCCTGGATGATTAAAAATAGGCTGTTGGGTAAAATATTTAAATACTTAAGAAGCATTTTTGTTTGGTAATATCTTTTATTGGAATTTATATGAAAGGTTATTAAATTATTTACATCCTATACTTGAAAAAAGTTACACTGTGACAGAAATAGTCCCGATCCTGCTCCTTCAACCTAGGCTTTCAGACAACCCCTCAACCTCCTCAGACTCATCATTACAAAGACATTCTCCACTGATCAACAAAAAATAAATGGAACAAATGGGGTTCCACAAAGATCTGTTCTGGGTCTGGTGATATTTAACATTTTTATTAATGATTTGTATGGGGAAATAGATAGCTTCCTGATCAAGACTTCAGATGATGTAAAACTGCAAGGGTTGCAGATAGTTTAGATTATAGGATTAGAATTCAAAAGAATCGTGATAGATTAGAAAACTGGCTCTAGATAAAAGAATGAAATTGAGTAAAGATAAATGTAAAGTGCTCCATCTAGGCAACCCCCACCCCTCCCCCCTGGTGTACAAATGACAGAATGGGAGATAATTGTCATCTGGCTGAATCACAAATTCGACATGAGGAATCAGCGTGATGCAGTTGCCAAAAAAGCGAATGTGTTTTGAGGGCTGCATTATTGAGAGTATTGTATGCAGGACAGACACAGGAGGTTTTCATACCACTCTATTTGCCACTGGTTTGACCTCCTTCTGGAGTACTATGTACAGTTCTGGGTTCCATGTTTTTAATAAGAAAGTAGAGAAACGGGAGAGGAACCAGACGCAAGCAGTGAAGGTGAAAAAGGGATTGGGAACAAAAGCTTTACAATGAAAAGTTGAGAGAATTTGGTAGATTTATTTGGGAGAGAAGGAGATCAAGGGGGAACATGATAATAGTTTTCAAATATTGTAAAGGCTTCCAGAAATCAAAACAACCACTGTTCTCCCTTACTGCAGAGGGCAGGACACAAGGCAGTGGATTTAAACTGCACCAAAGTACATTTAGGGTAAATCTCAGGGGGAAAAAGTCCTATCTTTCAGGAGAGTAGGACAGGGTGACGAGCACAAGACAGGGCACAAGAAAGTAGTGGAATCTTCTTTATTGGAGGGTTTTGAGAAGAGGCTGGATAAACATGTGACAGGTGATTTAGGAATAGTGTGCTTTACATTTTTCAAGGGGTTGGACTATATGATGCTTGAGGTCTGTTCTGACCTATGGTTCTTTAACTGCACTTTGTTTAAACAAATACAAAAACTTTTGACGTATCTGAATGACTACCTAAATCACCCAAAGATCATCATACACATTCCTATCACAAAAGCAATTTGCCTTATTAAATGTACCAGATATCCTTGTAGAAGATATTTAGGTAAAACTAATTCTCTCAGAAAAAATGGTAGAGACAGAAACATCCAAATGCCAGTGGCTGAACACTTTTCACAGAAGAACCCACCCCATCTCTGACCTAACAGTCCTTGTTCTCAAAGGAAACTTATATCATTTCTTCAAAAGACAGACTTGGAAATTAAAATTCATAACTACATTGGGCAGTAGAAAACTTGGATTTAACACAGGCAGCATTTTTTTAGCTCATAAGCATGTGTCTGGTCTCACTGCTGACATCTGTGGGCTCCACAGGTGAGAATGTCCCTCTTCTTTTTGAATAAGCTTATTCTTTTAGGTTTATATATTTCTACCGCCTTTTTACTTGGTTTGTAGCTATATCCTGATAGTTTTACTTTGCTCCCAGAGGTTGCCCGTTTCCTTTTTTAAATGATCAAATTTCTTATTCTTCCACTTGACATTGCTCTGATATCTGCTTCAGATATCAGATTTATCTGTATCTGCTTTTTTCCCAGGAGGGAAATTTTCTGCCTGACAGCTTCCCTTGCATCTCTCAACCTATAAAGTTGGTCTAATAAAAGACATTACCCTACAAATATTGTTTCTTGTATGAAGAATATAAAAGGTTAAGTTGTTTAGACATTAACTATGTCACACGTTGTTAGGTCGGACTGTTCATAGCAATAAATACTGTAACACAGATATACCAAAGATTTTGGCATACATTGCGTTACATAGCATGTACAGTACACGGAGTATTGTTCTGATTATTGTTCTACATTTTTCCCCTCTGCAAAAGTAACCATTAAAATCACACTTGATTATCCAGATGATTGACCTGTAACTGGACTTCTGACAGTCATGCTATAATTGTACTATAATACCCAATTTTTGGGTGACCCTTGCCAAGGCATTAACTAATATGGGGAAGGAGTGAAGCACTATTTTTCCTAAAAATGAACCTGAAAATGTTGAACTTATAATTAGAATAATATGGTACATACGAATATTAATTAAAATATATTTAATAACAAGTTCAAATGTAAAATGTTCAACTGAATATTAAGTCACTGTATAGAACTACATTATAATATATTTTTATTATTTTACTTATTTTTTACTGCTTAGTGCCTTGCAGTTAGTGCTTGTTTTCTTGTATGTTTTTAGAACCTTTTGCTTCACAGCTGCAGATGAGACGGAAAGTAATTTGCAGGATTTTGGGCAGCAAGCATGCCAGCTGATGTCTGCAGTGAGTGCCTTAGATGAGAATTTTGGAACTGGTGTTCCAATTTTGTTTCTTCGAGGATCTGTAAGTTTGGTTTAAACTCCTTGTTTGTATTTTAGTGATAGAGAGAAGTGATTTTTAATAATCTTCCCTCTTTGGTCCCAAAAAAGCAGGCATGCTGTATTTTCAGTAGTGGTCTCCTTAATCCTGTTAGACTCCAGCTTTATGGTGTGGTAAAGCTTTCTCTGGAGGGAGGATTGGACAATTATCTTCTGGAGCCATTCAGGAGCACTTTGTGTACACTAGCGGGTGTTAACTTTGGAGGTGCTCTTTCTTACTATTTGTATTGTATTGGTATCAAGAAATTAAACCACATGTAGTTTTAAGGACATAAGAAAAAGAGATGGTCCCTGCCCCAAAGGAGCATACTCTCTTGGACTCCTCTGTTCTAAAGATTAAAAATTCAGCATTCTCAGCCATTACTGGCCCAGGAAGTTAGATCAGGTCAGGGGTCAGCAACCCCCGACACACATGCCAGAGCGTGGCACATGAGGCCATTTTGCTCAGCATGCCACAGGCAGCCTGGTCTCTGGGCAGCTGCCACTGGCCACGGAGCCCAGGCTGCTTGCAGCAGGTAGCAGGGTGGGAGGCCGTGAGCCTTGCTGTGAGCAACCCAGGCTCTGTGGCAGGCAGCAGCTGCCCAGAACCCAGGCTGGATGTGGCAGGCAGCTGTGGGAGGCTGCAACTGGTGCACTGGGGTCCAGAGCCCTGGCCCAGCTCTGAGGCCGGTGATGCCTGCACGTGCATTTGGGGCACACAGTGGGGAAGGAGCCTACTGATAGCAGCCCTGGCTCTGTGGTGGTAGTGGCTGCACATGTACCATGGGGCGCATTGCAGAGAAAGAGCTGGGTTTGCACTGCCCCTGGCCACTTCTCTGCTGTGCGCCCTGAGTTGTGCATGTAGCTGCTGCCAGCAACGAACCGGGCTGGTGCCCTGGACCCTTGTACAGCTGCTTGCAGGCTCACAGCTGCCCACTGTGAGCAGCCTGGGCTCCATGGCAGGTGGCAGGGGCCTGCCTGGAGCCCAAGCTGCTCATACCAGATGGTGAGCCCTGCTGTGAGCAGCCCAGCCTCCATCTCAGACATGCAGGAGGCTGCCCAGAGCTTGGGCTGCCTGCAGCAGGCAACCACAAGGAGGCAAGCAGCTCCACTGGGGTCCAGAGCCCTGACCCAGCTCATTGCTGGCAGCGGCTGCACATGCACCTCAGGGAGCACGGTGCAGAAATGGCCAGGGCTGCGTTGTCACAACAAAGATCAGGCCCCTTATGGCTACTCCGCCATCCACCCCTGGCATGCCAATATCTTTCAAGTCCAGGTTGTGGGTTTTTTGGGCACTCAGCCCAAAAGTGTTGCTGACCCTCATTTAGGTTAAAGTCTTGTATGTGATGGCATGGCTCACCATGACTTGGGAAAGAGTTGGTGCTGAGGGGGACTGCTGTCAGTGAGCACTATCATATGTCTTATTCAGGTAGGTTGCATTAACCTATCCTTGTGGTAGGTTCCCATCAGCATATTTGCCCATAAGGCCATATACTTTATAGTCATGCTCATTGTTGGCTGGATTTAATCAGCTTCATAGTTGGTTTCCATTACTGAGCACATCCTGCTTTTAGCAGCAGTTCAGAGATAGGTGGTGTATTAAATGTGGCTTCCTTATATGCAGATACAAAATGAGGGTTTTTTTCCCCCATGTTGATTGGAGAAAAAACCCTTGTCTTATATTCAAGTAAAGATGGTAATACCCCCTATTGAATATGCTTGCAGTTTTCTTCCCTGTGTTAGGAAAGCCATGGATTAAAAACGTTAGCACTAACACATCTAATAGAATTATACGCTTATGGGCCTTAAAGTTTTAATAGTCAGGTTCTCAATTCCTATGTCTCTGTACTATTATTTTAAGTTAGAAGATTTTAATTTGAAAGTTGAAAACCACCTTAAGAAGCAGTTTGACTGGTAATGAAAAAACTTTGCATCTGTAAAACTGAATTGAGGGGCTGTTTTAAGATGCTCCTGTTCTTAAATTATGTCTAAAGGAGTTTTAAAAAAAATGATACAACAGAGCTAAATGTAGAAAAATAGATGGAGCGTGCCATTCTTATTACATCAAAATAAAAATTTTGTATGTTTGTATACATTTTTCCAGTGGCCTATCTAAAGTGTTTGTGTGCAGTCTGTGAAGTATTGTATTGTCTTTTAATTTGGCTTAACCTTGCAGTATAACAAATAAGTACAGATGGGCTCCTAGACAGAATTCAGGTGGGTCACAGGAGAGATCAGATTTCAAATGTTGTTTGAAAGCTGAGTCAGTCTCCACTATTGAATAAGTCGTCTTGGGAATCTCCAAATTAAGAAGTTGCCTTGACTGAAATTTTATACCACTCCTGTTACACAAAGAAAAATATGATACTTTAAAGTACATTTTATTATGAGCTATTCCAGATGCAAAAATCTCTATAGCCAATTGTGTGGAATCCTTTTAATCAAAGTTCTCAAGTTTAAGAATACTATTGTTTGAAAAATTGCCTTTTCATTTAATTATTGTTAAAATACTTTGATTTAGTTGGCAATAACCAGGAAAACTATAGATGTAAACTTTGCTGTGTTCTACATCTCTACATGTATAATGCAGATGTTTCTTTAATTGATCAGTCTTTCAACTTAAATAAAATCCATTGCATGTCTTTAGAGTATATAATCTGTGGAATAATTTATTATAATATAATATTTTTAATATAAGATATCCTTGAGCTTTAAATATACATTCATTAAACTATAACAAAAAGTGCATTGAAATATATAAACATAGAAAATTAGGGTTGGAAGAGACCTCAGGCAGTCATCTAGTCCAACCCCCTGCTCAAATCAGGACCTTCCCCAACTAAATCGTCACAATCAAAGTGAGAAAGTTTTTCTTAATATCTAACTTCAACTTCCCTTGCTACAACTTGAGACAGTTGCTTCTTGTTCTGTCAACTGCCACCACTGTTACCAGTCCAGCTCCATCCTCTTTTGAACCTGCCTTCAGGTAGTTGAAGGCTGCTATTAAATCCTCTCTGTCTTATTTTCTCCTAAGTAAGCCCAGGTTCCTCAGCCTCTCATGTCATGTTCCCCAGCCCCCAAACCTTTTTGTTGCCCTCTGCTGGATTCTCTCCAATTTGTCAATGTCTATTCTGTAATGAGGGGCTCAAAACTGAACACATTACTCCAGATGTGGCCTCACCAGTGCTGAATAGAGGGGAATAATCACTTCCCTTGAACTGCTGGCAACACACCTACCAATGTAGCCCAGTATCCTGTTAGCCTTCTTGGCAACAAGGGCACACTGTTGGCTCATATTCATATTATTGTCCTCTGTAACCCCCAGGTCCTTTTCTGCAGACCTGCTGCCCAGCCAGTCAGCCTCCAGCCTGTACTGGTGCATGAGATTGTTGCATCTTAAGTGCAGGACTTCACACTTGTCCTTGTTGACCGTCATGAGATTTCTTTTGGCCCAGTCCTCCAATTTCTCTAAGTCACTCTGAATTCTAGCCCTACCCTCCAGCATATCTACTACTCCCCCCAGCTTAGTGTCATCTGCAGACTGGCTGAGGGTGCACTCTGTGCTATCTTCCAGGTCACTGATGAAGACACTGAACAAAACGAGCCCCAGCACTGACTCTGGGGCACTCCACTTGATACCAGCTGCCAACTAGATATGTAACTATTAACTACTACCCTCTGAGCCCAGTGCTCCAGCCAGTTTTCTGTCCACCTTACAAACCATTCATCCAGCCCATACTTTCTTAGCTTGCCTGCAAGAATGTTGTGGGAGACCATATCAAAAGCCTTGCTAAAATTAAGGTACACCACATTAGCAGTTTTCCCAGGTCCTCAGAGTCAGGCATCTCATCATAAAAGGCAATCAGATTGATCAGGCATGACTTGCCCTTGGTGAATCCATGCTGACTGTTCCTAATCGCCTTATTGTCATCCAAGTGCTTCGAGATGGATTCCTTGAGGATTTGCTCCTTGATTTTTCCGGGGACTGAGGGGAGGCTGACTGGTTTGTAGTTCCCTGGATCCTCCTTTTTACCTTTCTTAAATACGGGCACTATATTTGTCCTTTTCCAATCATCTGGGACCTCTCTCAGTTGCCATGAGTTTTCAGAGACGATGGCCAATAACTCTGCAATCTCATCAGCAAACTCTCTCAGCACCCTTGTGTGCATCCCATATGGCCCCATGGACTTGTATATGTCCAGTTTTTCTAAATAGTTCCTAACTATTTCACCACTATTTTCACTATTTCACTGTTGGCTGCGCACCTTCTCCCAAACTGCTGCCTGGTGCAGTAGTCTGGGAGCTGACCTTGCCTGGGAAGACCGAGGTGAAAAAGGCATTGTGCACATCAGCTTTTTCTGCATCCTCTGTCACAAGGTTGCCTCCCCCATTCAGTAAGGGGCCCATACTTTCCCTGATCCTCCTGTTGCTACCTGTAGAAACCATTCTTGTTCAACAGGCCTATCTCCAGTTTCATACTGGAGTTCTGAGCAGTCATACATCTCTTTTACATAAAGTGCAACTTCTTCTCCTCTTGTCCCCTGCCTGTTCCTCCTGAACTGTTTGGACCCATCCATGACTGCTTCAGATATGTGAGCTATCCCACCAAGTCTCTGTTATTCCAATCACATCATAGTTCTGTGACTGTGCAAGGACTTCCAGTTCTTCGTGCTTGTTTCTCAGCTTCCATCCATTCGTGTATAGGCACCTAAGGTAAATAGTCAATTGCCCTGATTTCTCAGGAAGTATGAGACCACCTTCCCTGTTGCCCCATTCTGCTTCTGCTTCTTCCAGGTTTCCCTCTTCCATATTTGTGTCAGGGCTTTGGGCTCCATGCCTTGGCAAACCTTGTTTAAACCCCTCCTTACTAGGTTAGCAAGCCTGTCTGCAAAGATGCTCTTCCCTCTCTTAGGCAGGTGGATCCCATCTCTTCCCAGCAATCCTTCTTAGAACAACATCCCATGGTTGAAGAAGCCAGAGCCCTGC